ACAGATGCCAGACCAAAGACAGACTGTGCGACAGAGAGACGGGTGGTGAGCACCTGTTGAAGTTATATGCAGAAGATCCACCAAGCCAATCACCTGTTCGAGGACCAGGCAACCGTTGAACGCTGTCTCTGAGAATGTATTCTTTAGGCTCTCTCAAACTTTTGAAACCCAGCTTTAAAATAAGGACCCCTTCACTTCCCTTTTGTTCTATTCTCACAATTTAACATAAACTCGTTAGTCTTTTTTATTGTTCTTATTATTCCCCAACAATTTTAGAACTTGGTTTAATGAAGCTTTCTCTTCTGAGTTCACTGGTTTAAAAAAAAAAAAGAAAAGAAAAAAGAAAAAAACAAAAAAAAAAGAAAAGGCATTGCTCTTATAGGTCCAGTTGTAAAAGAAGAAACACATTTGGAGGGTGGGATTGCGGGTGGGCTAGGGTTAGAGCAAGGGTATCGACAAGAGTTTAAGTGTTAGTCCCAATGTTGAAACAAGTGGCATTTTTTAAAAATAATTTGGTTGCATTTTTACATAACACTGCCATGAATAACCTAAGGGAAGTGTTGAATGGTGTTGGCCAGGGCATAAAAAGATAAATATGCATTTTACTAAACTACCTCAGGCATTTAGTACCTCAATGAGAAATTGTTCCTTTTTTGCTTTTTTTTTTTGGTATTTTGTATACTTTATAAAGCTAATAGTTCTTGAGCATTTTATTTTTTTAAAAAAAATTAAAATTTGATCAGCCACCAGCCAGGAGTACTACGGACTTATCGGGGAAAAAATATAGTAGAGCACTTCTAGCTGCTGGCTGATGGGAGTAAGGTGGGTAAAAAAAACACAGCCTCAGATTTTCTGAGGGCTTCAACACCATCATTTGTTTAAAAAAAAAAATTCAGTGAATGTTCAAAAGATAGTGAATGATGCCAACATTCTGATAGCAGCAATGCCGTTTAGTTTTCTTTTAAGATGGGATGAAAAAGTTTGTGACGGTACTTTTTTGGGAACAGGACAAGGAAGTGATGGCAAGAGGCTGGGGTTGGGGGAAAAATTTAGAAGGCTGCAAGAGGCTGAATTTTTTTTGTGCTACTTGATTGAATGCATGAACCCTTTGTGCCTTTGACCATCACTACCTAATAATGCTACATTTAACCATTTGCAGCCCATTTGGACTTTGCCATTTTGTTCAAAGAGCAAGCTTCATCTTCAGTTTGATAGAACACTCGATCTGCTAGAGCGTATTTGAGGCCACGAGGGTCTCTGCTGTCTGCAGATCCACATCATACTGCTTTCAGTTACCACGATGGGGGAAGGTCAAACAGTGTTTGATCACATTGAAAGATAATGAAAGGCTAAGTTTACATATCCAGCCGCTGTTATGGGCCACACTAAGCCACTTTGAAGGTTTTAAAAACTATTACAAGAAAAAAAAAAAAAAACACAAAACAAAACAACAACCTCTCTAGCCTGGCTTATAATAGATGCAGCAGGATTTATGCACGTTCTGCAACCAACCATTAGAGGAAAAAAAAATGTCAAAAGGCAGGGATAACAGGAAAGTTACCAAATTTTTTAATTTCCGAATGTAATTTGAATGATGATTGTGGTAATAGTGACACATTCAAGTTTCTACAATAAACTTCAGTCTACCTCAGTTTAAGAAAAAAAAAAAATATGTGGCAACACATGGTTCATAAAGACTGCTGTGTGTGTGTGTGTGCGCGTGCGCGCCTGTATGTGTGTGGTCGACAGAGCCATGCTATTACCTCTGAACCTTTTTTTTGTGATGTTTTTTGTGCATGAGATGATCAGAATCACCATGCTGCACTGATTTGAGGGGCACAACGAGCAAAAACATTTGTTTCATCATTTTGTTATCTACCTCTTAGGTTCATGTTGAAATAGAGGCATTACTACATAGACTAGATAATTTTCCCAAAGATCATTGTTGTACAGATTAGATAATTTTGAAAATGGTCTGAAGTGTTTTTCCTGCATCTCTTCTTTACTAATTGGTTTAAAAACCACAAACTTATGTTGTAGTTTTAGCAAAGAAAAATGAGTTTCTTTTCCTTTTTTGACAGTGACCTTCATCTAGCCTTTAGGATAACTTTTTTTTCTTACAATGAATTTAAAATTACTGAAGTATGAAAAGTCATAGCTTTTTAATTTTTGTTGAGGCTTAAGTCAGTCTGACGTTCCTTTCTTAACATTTGAGAAGGATTTGACTTCATTATTTTCCATAAAAATTACTTTACAAATAGGTGCTGCATTTACATCTGCTGATTTAAATACTGTCATCTCTCTTAAATTTCTAGACTTAGTAGGGTAAATCATGTTTTTCTTTTCAATTGAGACTTGGTAATTTGGAGTATTTGGGAATAGCTAGAAAGTAAATACTGTAAATGATTTCAATATCCACAAAGTATGGATCATTTTTCATCTGTAATGTGCCCCCCAATGCAGCTCCACTTGCCAGATGCCTCTGAATGGAATAAAGAGTTTAACTCCTATCATCAGATAAAGTTGTGTGGTGTTTTTTTAAACTAATGAGGCATAGGAACAGACCGTTCCAAGCATTTGCGGTGCTTTGATCAAGTTGGTTTTCTGTCCGTAATAATAACTGGATAAGGATGAACAGTCACCGACAGGTATTCCATAGCTGCTAGGCCACCCGGCAGCCAGGTTACAATGTTTGCACTACAAGCAGTGACTTCTGTAGCTTAGAATTCAACTCCCTCTTGCATAACAATGCTATACAGTCTATAGTACAACCTGTAGTTCATGGTTTCAGTCTTATGCAGATCATTTATGCCAGTTTGCTGGGGAAGGGATGCGTAGTCAATAGTCCTGACCCAGGGCAAACATGAAGGAATCTTTAACAGGTTTGAAGCAAGATCTGAATTGCATGAAACTTTTTTTTTTTGGCTGCTTTTTACCTAGTCTTTACTTTGGTGCTGCCAGTGTGATGAAGCTGTGTAATGACCACTGCCCTAGAAGCTTGGATAGGCAGAACCGGTCACACCAGCAAGCAAATGTGACGGCAACCTGTATCTTGCTCCTACCACCACCACCCGAACACACACCAATTGCCAGTGAGGTGGTATCGCTGCTCCATTTAGATCCTTGTTAACATTTTTTGGAATAGAAATGAGACTAGGTGTTTAACTGAATGCTTTAGAGTGAGAGGGAGGGGTTGGGGAATGAATAATCATGAATAATACAATTCTGCATCTTTTAAAGAGGAGTGGAAAACCAAACTTGCCTTCCAAACTCTTGCACCCTCCCACTTGTCTTCACAGCTCGTTTACTGGGACCAACCAGCAGAAAGAGGGAATTGGAGAAATGATGTCTGTTCATGACACTGCATAGGGTATTGCATTTCACAGGGAACTCTAAGCTCATTTTTCATGCCAATACTGAGCTATCTTCTCAGAACTGGCATCCCTGCCATTTGAGCAACATAAGAAGTTAAGCCTTCCTCTGTATCGCTGGTGCATTTGTGACAGCTAAACCCCCGACTGTTAAGCATTTGCTTAATCATGGTGCTTTTATTTGCTTCTAACCTTCCAAAGCTTTTATTCCTAAGCTGCAATTTCAAAGGCATGCGCTCTTTGTATTAGTTTCCATTAAATGAAGCATGTATGCTGTGCAGGACAGCGTGGTCTTGACATGGTACCAGGGCATAGGGTTTTTAAATGAACATGAAAAATTGTGGAGTAAGCACTCAGGCTGGGCTGTAACAGAGATATTAGCTCACCTGATGAACGCAAACACTGCTTGATAACCAAGTTACTCAAATGCAGTGCAGGAAATTGATGAAATGATGACAAAAGTTTCACCTTGATAATTGTTTCTCCTGTTCATCCCATCACCAAGGGGAGAGAACGGCTCAACGGAGCCACACCTGCATGTACCTCTGTACAGGATGAATCTATAGTCTCATTGGACAAGCTGCTCACTATTTTTATTTTACACAGAAATCACCTGATCCTTAGAAATGAAACCATTCCCAAAAGTTTTCCTTCCAAAAGGTGTTCAATGTTGCACAGCACTGATCATTCAGACCATCTTTCTTAATTCCTAGGTCCCAGTTTTTAAGAGGGTCAGGCCGAAGGCTCAGCAAGTCTGGCAGGCAACCTGGCTGGGGCATTGCAGGAGCTTGGCACAGATCATGACTGCTCCTGTTAAACAGGGGATGAGGAAGTTCTTTTCCTGAGCTGGCAGTCCTGATTATTTAATAGCAATCAGTGGATGTTCCATATAACTCCTTTTCATAATGTGCTTTCGCAGTAAATTCGGTTATACTTTTTCATTTACTTTACTGTTTTTTGTCTCCTCCGTTCATTTGACGACTTTTTTTTTTTTTGTCTTGTCTTACAGACTTACCCCTTTCCGGCTGTAAAAGTCCTAGTCTGTTCACACAGAAGCTGTTTCCTATCTCTTACTGTTCTTTTCTGGGTGCTCCTTTTGTTACTGTGCTCCTTGAGACAGGATACTGTATGCAGTTCTGGTTACTAAATGTGGGTTCATATAACGGCATAATGTTTGCTGAACCTGCTTCTATTCATCTAGTATTACTTATCTGCAGCAGCAGCAGTAAAAGGCAAATGGTTTCAGGGAATGATCCAAAGTTACTCCTACGTATCCCTCCTAGGAGGAAATGCCTGATTTAGAACCCATCACTCTGTAAGACAGCCAAGGTTATCTTTCTCCCATGCGGATTACTTATTGCCAAGTATCATGAAGCATTTTGAAAATTTCTTTGCAGTCAGATTTACCACCAATACCTTTATTTTGTGGGCAAAGATGTTTTATGTGCATAGTTTAACTACATTTAATAAATGCTCCTTGCTTAATTTGCAGAACTATCTGCTGCCTCATATCAAAAGAGCAGGTGAACTCAGGGGCAGTTATTCCTGAAAGAACAGAGGCTAGACACAGCAAAAAAAACCCATGACCAGTCTAGAATGAGGGAGGTGTTTGTTTTTGTTTTTTTAAAAAAAAAAAAAGCCAAACAACCCCCCCTTCCCTGTAAACAACACAACCACATGAGCAAAAACCAAGGTCATGTTCTTTAAGTGTTACAAACAGCAGCTGCTGTGCAGGGAAGAGATACAGACAGAGCTTCAAGTAGCTTGTGGGGCTATGGGGGAGAAAGGCGATTGCCCTCAGGGTTCCTGCTTCCTGATGCACGGCAGAGCAAGCTTCTCCAGAAGGAAGAGATCCTAATCTAATGATGAAAGCCCTGTCCCGTAGTGGAGAAAAGCATCTTGTTTCGCATTGCCAAGTTTTGTTACCATCTTGAAGCTCTTCTAACTGGTTGTTAGACCATGCGGGCGGTCAGACCAAGAACATGCTGCACAATGACTTCTGAAAGTGTTGGACAGCCCGTTAGCAGCAAGTAATGCTCAGTGACTAAGGGTTTCCTTTAGAACTACGTTCACCCACTTCAGAAGGAGCTGAAGGTTTACACTGCCATAGCGTGTTGCCTCAGTGTCCTTTTCCAGAAACTAGGTGAGAGGAAAACTAGGAGAGGGGCCAACTGCACACTTAGAATGAGCTGAATGTTTTAACATGGAGACAAGGAATTGAAGCTCTTCAAGTTTTGTTTTTTTTATTAAAAACAGATTGGCCTTGGCTGAAAAACTGACTTACTGTTCTGTTAACTCAAGACACATTTATTTGTCGCTGCTGCTCTTGGCTTTTATGTGCTCAGCAATACCAGTCTGTTTTCTCCTTCGATTCAGAGCATGACTTGCTTCATCGTGACCAGAAGCAAATGGCTTAATACAAGAAGCCTCATCTAACCTGTACTATTTCACGTAGTTTCTCCTGGCAGCACTCAAGTCTTTTTGCGCTGCCACTACAGGTAGGTCTTTCCAAGAAATGAGAAAAACAATTACCGTAGAGGCTGAGCATGAGTTTTAGGGTAAGTAGCTTAAGCAGCTGTCTTTGCCCCACTCTTCTTACTGCAAACTCCATTGAGACAGTGACTCCCCCAGGAAGCTCCCTTATGATAGGATTCCTTCTTTGACATTTTACGTTTGGACTCGATCTTAAGGGTCTTTTCCAGCCTCAATGATTCTGATCATTTTTGTAGCTTGTTCAGAACTTTACCTAGGCATATGCAATAAATACACTGTTTTGAACTGATCAACTGTAGTGACTGTTAAGTCATTAATCAAGGCTGTATGTCTCTCAGATCTGTGAAGGCACACTCATTTGTCTTTCCACTCAAAGCTGTCTCAAGATGATCACTGTCGTTAGGAGTCAGTCCAAGTATAAAGTCTTCTGGCAGTGACTGTGGAGTCATCTGTGCTAACTGGTCATCATAGGAACCAAGAGTCCATAGCTTCTCCAATTCATAAGCCTCTCGTGTCTCCGGCAGCATGAAATGCATCACAATGCTACCTGCACAGAAGAGAAATTCACAATAAATTAATGTGAACTGTAAAGCACCACTACGCTTCCAGCTGCTGAAAGAGTTCAAGTCTTCCACCCCCATTCTGGCTAGATATAACAGGTCAGCTGGTGGAGGTCTCTTAAGCTGCCGATTCCAGTTCTTGAACAGTTAGGAATTGGTCACTCCTTCAAAAGACTCCAAGACTACAGCCGGGGGAATGAGAGGGACAATACTCTGATTTGAATTAAAACACTATCACAAGACTCCAGACCAAAGAAGTGATGACTTCCAGGGGACAGAAGGAAGTAAGCTGAAAGAAATTTTACTTGAGAGAGTAACATGGACTTGAAAGAGTACAGATGGACTTTCAGCTTTCCTATATTACCAACAACATTCAGCTATAGCCAAGTAATTTTCCTTAGGTGTGTTGCTCACTTCTCAGGTGGTTTTTATAATTAATTGCATTAATTCTGTGCAAAAATAGTAGAGAATGTTAATTCCAGTGTACTTCTAATGCACTTTTTTCTAGTTATGCCCTTAAATTTCCACCGGTCTTCAGTTATAACTATCAAAATCATTGACAGTAAAGTAACCAAGGCTTAACATCCCTGGCTGCAGTGCTCCTCACTCACCCATGCTCTCTTTTACCCTCTAACTTTGTGTTTTGGCTTGAGATTCTAGGGCTAGCAGCGAAGGAGAAATGCTTTCTGAATGCAGTCTTTTACGTTTGTGTAGAGAGTTTCACACTTGTAGAATAAAGAATTAAACTCAATTTTTTAGGACTGAGGTTTTACCCCATGTCACGGTATGATCTGGACAGTGGAAAAGTCTGTCCAAGAGTTCGCTACTAGGGCAGCATACAAAGAGCCCCCACTCCCCCAGGCAGGGATTATAAAAACCTGAGAAAATTGACTGAAGTAGCTTTTCTCTTTCCATTAGTGTTATCTTCAATTTATTAAGACCTGTTTTAGCCACTGAAGAGTAGCTACTGCTTTCTTCTCAGTGCCAATGATCTTTAGTGAAAATTTATTTAGTATCTCAATGAGCTCAAGCAACAACAACTAGAATTCTAAACAGCAGAGTATTGTGACCTCTCCACAGCAACCAGGGTTTACGGTGAGATGCTTCCTTCAACAGAGAGCTCATGCAGAAATTCATATTTGTCAGATTCACAAATATTTAACAAAATCAAAGCACA